CTGCTGGCCAGGACCTTCCTTCATTTCGTGCTTCCCCCTGGTGGTCAGCACCTGTTATAGTGAGTGATCAAACTCTCAGTGGGTCGAACTCCTGAGGGGACACTTTGCATATTAGGCTTTTATATATATACTAGAGGCCCGGTGCACAAAAATTTATGCACTTGGGGGGGAGGGGGGTCCCTCAGCCCGGGCCTGTGCCCTCTCACAGTCTGGGACCCCTCGGGAGATAACGACCTGCTGGCTTAGGCCTGCTCCTGGGTGGCAGAGGGCAGGCCCAACCCCTAGGTGCAGCCCCTGGTCGGGCTCAGAGCAGAGCTGATTGGGGGGTTGGGGCACCATCCCCTGTCACACTCAAGGCAGGGTCGATGGGGAGGTTGCAGCACCACCCTCTGTCACGCACAGAGCAGGGCCAATCAGGGGGGTTGGGGCTCTGTACCCTGTCATGCACAGAGCAGGGCCAATCAGGGGGTTTGGGGCTCCATACCCTGTCACGCACAGAGCAGGGCCTATCAGGGGGTTGGGGAGCTCCCCCTGTTACGCACAGAGCAGGGCCCATCAGGGGGTTGGGAGCTCCCCCATGTCACTCACAGAGTAGGGCCGATAGGGGAGTTGGGGCACCGCCCGCTGTCACACACAGAGCAGGGCGGATCAGGGGGTTGGGGCGCCGCCACTGTCACACTCAGGGCAGGGCCGATAGGGAGGTTATGGCTCTACCCCATCACACACAGAGCAGGGCCCATGGGGGGGGGGGTTTGGGGCGCTGCCCTCTATCACCCACAGAGCAGGGCTGATCAGGGGGTTGAGGCACCGCCACTCTCACACTCAGGGCAGGGCCGATGGGGAGGTTATGGCTCTACCCCGTCACGCACAGAGCAGGGCCCGTGGGGTGGGGGGGCTGGGGCGCTGCACCCCGTCACACACAGAGCCACAGGGCGATCAGGAGGTTGGGGAGCTCCCTCTTATCAGGCACAGAGCAGGGCTGATTAGGGGGTTGGGGTGCCTTCCCTTGTCACGAACAGAGCAGGGTGGATAGGGAGGTTGTGGCCCCGCCCCCTGTCACACACAGAGCCGCAGGGTGATCACGGGTTTGGGGAGCTCCCCCCTATCAGGCACAGAGCAGGGCTGATCAGGGGGTTGGGGTGCCTTCCCCTGTCACGAACAGAGCAGGGTGGATAGGGAGGTTGTGGCCCCGCCCCCTGTCACACACAGAGCCGCAGGGTGATCACGGGTTTGGGGAGCTCCCCCCTATCAGGCACAGAGCAGGGCTGATCAGGGGGTTGGGGCACCTTTCCCTGTCATGAACAGAGCAGGGTGGATAGGGAGGTTGTGGCCCCGCCCCCTGTCACACAGGGCGATCAGGGGGTTTGGGTGCTGCCCTCTGTCACGCTGATCCCAGTGCCAGGAGGCCTCTCGGCTCCACTGGTCCCGGTGCTGGGAGGCATATTACCCTTTTACTATATAGGATAGAGGCCTGGTGCATGGGTGGGGGCCGGCTGGTTTGCCCAGAAGGGTGTCCTGGATCAGGGTGGGGGTCCCCACTGGGGTGCCTGGCCAGCCTGGGTGAGGCGATGATGGCTGTTTGCAGCTGGTCACACACCCTTCAGGTTGGGGGTCCCCACTGGGGTGCCTGGCCAGTCTGGGTGAGGTGTTGAAGGCTGTTTTCAGGCTGGCGGGTGACTGAAGCTCCCAACTGCTCCTTTTTTTCTTTTTTTTTATTCTGGGCCAGCTTTAGCTCTGGCTCCAGCTCTGAGGTCTCTGTTGCTGAAAGCAGGTATCTGGTTTGTTTGGGTTCTATAATCGAAACACTGTATCAACTCCAGCTCTGAGATCCCGGCTGGCTGAAAGCAGGTTTCTGGGGTTTTGTTTAGCTTCTATATTTGTAACAATGTTTCAAACTGCAAGGTCAGAGGCCGGCAAGGCAGGCGGGGAATGTTGGTTTCCTCTGTCACTGAAGCAAGCAAGCCTCACGTTAGCTTCAAGCTGCCTGGCTGCTGGCCGCCATCTTGGCTGGCAGTTAATTTGCATATCACCCTGATTTGCCAATGGGAACGGTAGCCGATGTATGGCTAATTATCATGTTTCTCTTTTATTAGATAGGACTAGAGGCCCAGTGCATGAAAATTCATGAACTGCAGGAGGGGTGTCCCTCAGCCCAACCTGCCCCCTCTCACAGTCTGGGAGCCCTCAGGGAATGTCCTACTGACAGCTTAGGTGACTGGGCTGATCAGGGGAAGGCACCACCCCCATCAACCTGCTTCTGCTGCCACTGCTGGCCATGGCAGGTGTGAGGCCTAAGCCCCTGACCTCGAAGCCACCGGGGCTCATGGCTGCCAGAGCTCTGGGCCTTGCAGCCGCTGGGGGTCACAACTTCCTGAGCCCATGGCTGCCTGAGCCCTGGGCCTCACAGCCACTGGGGCTCAAGGTTGCCATGAGCCCCAGGCCTTGCAGCCACAGGAGCTCACAGTTGTTAGAACCCATGGATGCCTGAGCCCTGGGCCTTTCAGCCACTGGAACTCATGGCTGCTGTGAGCCCCAGGCCTTGCAGATGCTGAGGCTAATGGCTGCCTGAGCCTCGGACCTCACAGCTGCCAGGGCTCAAGGTTGCCATGAGCCTTAGGCCTCGCAGCTGCTGGGGCTCAAGTTTGCCTAAGCCCAAGGCTGCCTGAGTCCTGGGCCTCGCAGCCACTGTGGCTTTTTCCAGATGGATGTCTGAATGGATGTTGAAAATATGTCCACCCTAATTAGCATATTATCCTTTTATTAGTATAGATATATAGATTATTATCAGTATATCTTATTTAATTTTTTTTGTTTTAATATCAGGAAGAGTGAAGGGTGCAAAGGCCCTAAAACAAGATAGTGGGGCATAATATAAAAACTGCAAGTAATTCAATGTGGTTAGAGCATAGATGTCAAGGGGGATGATCAATTGTACAAATATAAAGCTGAAAAAATAGGCAAGAACTTGGCCATGCTAAGGAATTTTGAATGTATTCTGTGTATGTTGGAGGGTGAAGGGCACTGAAGAATTGTAATCAGAGGATACTAGAGTCAGATTTTTATGTATAAAAATCATTCTAGCAGTAGTGCATAGCATGAATTAAAAAAGTGACTAGAGGCCAGTGTAGAATCCTCTATACTAATAAAAGAGTAATATGCTAATTAGACCAGACATTTTCCGGATATCTTCCAGAAGTCTTTCTGGACAAAGCCATGGTGGCAGGGGCCAAGGCAAAGGTGGTTAGGGGCAATCAGGCTGGAAGGGTAGAGCAGTTAGGTGGCGATCAGATCGGCAGGGGGGAGCCGTTAGGGGTGATCAGGCCAGCAGGGGAGGGCAGTTAGGGGTGATCAGGCCAGCAGGGGAGGGCAGTTAGGGGTGATTAGGCTGGCAGACAGGCAGGTGAGAAGTTAGGAGCCAGCGGTCCTGAATTGTGAGAGGGATGTCCGACTACAGGATTGGGCCTAAAACAGCAGTCCGACATCCCCCAAGGGGTCCTGGATTGGAGAGGGTGCAGGCCGGGCTGAGGGACCCCCTGTGAATGAATATCGTGCACCAGGCCTCTAGTATATAATAAAACCCTAATATGGAAATCTACTGAATGGCAGAATGACGGGTCGCTATGGTGCACACTGGCCACCAGGGGGCAGATGCTCAATGCAGGAGCTGCCCCCTGGTGGTCAGTGCACTCCCACAGGAGGAGCACTGCTGAGCCAGAAGCTGGGCTCACAGCTGGTGAGCACAGCAGCAGTGGTGGGAGCCTTTCCCACTTCCGCGTAAGTTCAAAGGAGCAGTGAGCCCAGCTTCTGGCTGAGTAGTGCTTCCACAGGGGGAGTACTCCTCAGCCAGAAGCCAGGCTCACAGCTGGCGAGTGCAGTGGTGGTGGCGGGAGCCTCTCCTGCCACCGCAGCAGCGCTAAGGAGCAGTGAACCAAGCGGTAAGGAGCAGCGAGCAGGTGGGTGGTAAGTAGCAAGGAATCCTGGACTGTGAGAGGGATGTCTGACTGCTGGCTTAAGCCTGATCCCCTGGGGAGTCCTGGACTGTGAGAGGGCTCAGGCTGTGCTGAAGGCCCCCCCCCAGTGCAAAAATTTCATGCACCAGGCCTCTAGTCTATTATAATAGCCTACATCAGCGATAATGAGGCTTTGAGTTAAAAGAGAGGGTGAGGGAGTGTTCTGGTTCTAGTAATGGCAGAATAGGTTTTATCTGATTACCTTCTCACAGATAACAATAATAAACTAGAGACAAATATTTTGTAAACTACTATTTGCAAAACCACCAACTATTAGAATGCCTTAAAGATTGTGTGAATGAAGCGAGGTAGAAAATGGAAGAGATTTGACCCTTAAAAAGAAGAGAATCTCACTGCTTGAGGTCCAAAAATATGTCTTTTCCCCCTGAGAACATTTCCCAGTTTTTGTCACAGGATGGCTTAAATTCAAGCAGAAAGCCATATTATTTTGGCTTGAAGTATCAGAGGAGAGTTTGGAATTGCCATAGCAGCAGAAAATTGCAGAGGGAAGTCTGGGGAAAGGCAAATGTGGAAGGAGCCCCTAAATTCCTTAGCTGAATCTGAACTTCACATGCATGGGGATACTCCAAGAACCTGGAAGAAAGCAGCAGCTAAAAGGCTCAAAATCCTGAGCAGAGATTTCAGCTGTTGCCCACTTCAGTGAATACAGAGTTTAGAGTCTGAGTGCTGCCTAGTAAAGGGGCAAATAGTTCTTGGTAAATACCCCAAACTTTCCATTGAAATGCCAGAAGGCTCTTGACTTTGAAGTAAAGACTATGTCTAAAGATAAAGGGACTTATCCTAAGACTAAGGGAAAAATTGAAACAGATCCACCCTTAAAAAAAGTGTAAAACCATGTGCCTGAAGTTCAATGGAATCAACCAGTACTGTATTTGCCAACTAGAATGAAAATCAACACTTTTCAGAGACCAAAACAAAATCTACAATCTCGCTTTTCAATCTGCCATCTGCAGTGGAGTAGCTGCCAAGATGCAGATTTTTGTGAAGACCCTCACGGGGAAGACCATCACTCTCAAGGTTGGACCCTCAGATACAATAGAAAATGTAAAGGCCAAGATCCAGGATAAGGAAGGAATTCCTCCTGATCAGCAAAGACTGATCTTTGCTGACAAGCAACTGGAAGACAGACGTACTCTGTCTGACTACAACATTCAAAAGGAGTCCACTCTCCATCTTGTGTTGCGACTTCATAGTGGTGCTAAGAAAAGGAAGAAGTCTTACACAACTCCCAAGAAGAATAAGCATAAGAGAAAGAAGAATAATCTGGCTGTCCTGAAATACTACAAAGTGAATGATAATGGCAAACTCAGTTGCTTTCGTCCGGAGTGCCCTTCAGATGAATGTGGTGCTGGAGTTTTTATGGCCAGACACTTTGACAGATATCATTGTGGCAAGTGTTGTCTGACCTATTGCTTCAACAAACCAAAAGACAAGTAATTGTATTTGGGTTAATAAAAGACATGAAATAACAAAACAACAAAACTAAACAAAACAAAAAACTACAGTCTCTATAATATATAATCCATAAGGCCAAAAATGAAATAAAAATTAGTACAAATATGAAGAAACAAGAAAGTGTGACCTAATATCAATAGAAACAGAAGTCAATATTAACCAATATGAGATAGCCATATATTGGATTTGGTAAACAAGGACTTTAAAGGTTTTTTAAAAATTTATCTTTATTGCTGAAAGGATTACAGATTCCCCCCCCCAACGCCCAGTGATGCCCTTCCTCCTCACTTCCATACCCTCCCCAGGCCTTCACCCAACTATTGTCTGTGTCCATGGGTTATTCATATCTATAATAATAAAAGCATAATATGCTAATTAGACTGGGCATCCTTCTGGACAACCTTCCAGACGAAGCCGGGGCTGTGAGGGAAGCCTGGGTCCCGGGTGCCAGAGGGAAGCCAGTGCTGGTAGCTGGGGGAAGGAAAGCCTACTCTTGCAAGAATTTCATGCATTGAGCCTCTAGTATGCATATAAGTTCTTTGGTTTATCTCTTCCCTCCCCCACCCCTTCCCTCTGAGGACTTTCAGTCTGTTGCATGCTTCCATGTCTCTGGATCTATTTTGTTCATCAGATTCCACATATAAATGAGACCATGTGATACTTCATTCTGTGACTGACTAATTTCACTTAGCACAGTACTCTCCAGGTCCCTCTATCCTGTCTCAAAGGATCCCTCTATCCTTTTTTGCAGTTGCATAGTATTCCATTGTGTAAATGTACCACAGGTTTTTAACCCATTCATCTACTGGTGAGCACTTGGGTTGTTTCCAGATCTTAGCTATTGTAAATAACACTACTATGAAGATAGGGTTGCATATATTCTTTTTTTTTTTTTTTTTTTTTTTTTTTTAGGTAGTGGTGGTAGCATTTAATTTTTTTAAATATATTTTTTATTGTAGATGGTATTACAGATAGCTCTCATTTTCCCCCACTTCCCCCCCTCATCCAAGCCTCTGCCCCTCTCACCATATATTCTTTCTGATTGGTGTTTCAGGCTTCTAAGGATATATTCCTAGAAGTGGGATCAGTGGGTCAAATGGCAGTTCCATTTTTAATTTTTTGAGGAAACTCCACACTGTTTTCCATAGTGGCTGTACCAGTCTGCATTCCCACCAGCAGTGCACGAGGGTTCCTTTTTCTCCAAATCCTTGCCAGCACTTGTTCTTTGTTGATTTATTGATGGTAGCCATTCTGGCAGGTGTGAAATGGTACCTCACTGTTCTTTTAATTTGCACCACTCTGATGAATAGTGGCATTGAGCATTTTTTCATATGTTTCTTGGCCATTTGTATGTTTTCTTTGGAGAAGCATCTATTTAGGTTTTCTGCCCAGTTTTATATTGAGTTGTTAATCTTCCTTTTGTTGAATTGTATGAGTACTTTATATATTTTGGATATTAACCCCTTATCAGATTGGCAAATATGTCCTCCCATACAGTGGGTTCCCTTTTCATTTTGATGCCGGTTTCTTTTGCTGTGCAGTTTTTAAGGTAGTCCCATTTGTGTGGTTTTTTTTTTTTCCTTTGTTTCTTTTGTCCTAGGCATTGTATCAGTGAAAATTTTTCTACATGAGATGTCTGATATTTTTCTGCCTACATTTTCTTCAAGGTTTTTTTTTTTTTTTCTTTTTTTTTTTTCTGGGAAGCCACCACATACCAACACTATCATGAACTTGCACCAAAGAATGTGGGAGGCCGATGGACCTTGAGCGTTAGCAGGGCTTACGCTAGTGTTGAGATTGTGGTGGCTCAAAGCAATTTCCTGACCTGATAGCCTCCAAGTAAATGTTTACTGGACCTTAGTGATCTTTATTGACCTTTCAGACTGCCTGTCTGCTACATGTTTGCCATGCTTTACTGAGGGCAAGATGTGTACCTAAAACTGAATAAAAGCGGACTAGACCAGGACTCGGTGTACCTCTTCAAGGAAAAGACTCCACCTGGCCCCCATCCCTTAATAATTCATATTTTTGTCTAGCTTTTTCATTTGTGCATCAGCCCCTCCTTCAGATTCTGAACCTTGCTGTGCAGGTCATGGCAGATTTTTATGGTTTTATGACTTACATTTAAATCTTTTAACCATTTTGAGTTTATTCTTATGTATAGTGTAAGTTGGTGACCTAGTTTCATTTTTTTTTTTTTACATTTAGCTGTCCGTTGATCAGAACACCATTTATTTAAGAGACTGTCTTTACTTCATTGTATTTTCTTGCCTCCTTAATCAAAGATTAATTGAGCATAATGGCTTGGGTAGATTTCTTGGTTCTGTATTCTGTTCCATTGGTCTATATGCCTGTTCTTGTGCCAGTACCAGGCTGTTTTGATTATGGTGGCTTTGTAAAGGGTGTCTCAAAATTCCCGCAAGAAGTAATTTTGATAGAAAACACAGGTTTATAATTAAAAATTGTAATTTTTTTATTGATTTATAAAGTATACAGTATAGGGTTATGTATGGAATAGCATATCGGGTAAATGGCCTCCACGGCTTTGCTGGAACATACACACTCTTTTGTTGAAATTTTCCATGACCGTTTTGCATAAATGTGGCTGAATTTTGTTGACACAGCGCTCAATTTCCTCCTTCAAGGCATGGGTGGTCGTGGGCTTGTTGGCATAAACGTTAGACTTCAAAAAACCCAAAAGAAAAAAGTCCAACGGCGTTAAATTGCATGATCTGGGCGGCCAATTCTGATCACCAAAATGGGAAATTACATGACCAGGAAATGACTCATGCAGTAACTGAATTGTTTCTTGGGCTGTATGGCAGATGGCACTGTCTTGTTGAAACCATATGTCGTCCACATCCATATCTTGCAATTTAGGCACAAAAAACTGGATTATCATGTCGCGATAGTGAGCACCATTAATTGTTATTGCCTGAGCAGCCGCATTTTCGAAGAAGAATGGTCCAATGATGCCTCCAACCCAAAATCTGCACTAAACAGTGACACACTGTGGATATTTTGCCCGATATGCTATTCCATACATAACCCTATACTGTATACTTTATGAATCAATAAAAAATTATAATTTTTAAATTATAAACCTGTGTTTTCTATCAAAATTACTTCTTACATGAATTTTGGGACACCCTTTAGTATGGTTTGATATCTGGTATTGGTATCCCTCCAACTTTGTTCTTCTTTCTCAAGATTGCTGCAGTTATTGGGGGTCTTTTTTGGTTCCACATAAATTTTCAGAGTGTTTATTGTAGATCTGTGAAAAATAACTGGTATTTTAATAGGGATTGCATTGAATCTATACATTGCTTTTGGTACTATGGACATTTTTAAAAAATATGTATTTGTGTTGATTTCAGAGAGGAAGGGACAGGGAGAGAGAAATAGAAACATCAGTGATGAGAGAGAATTATTGATTGGCTGCCTCTTGCAGGCCCCACACTGGGGATTGAGCCTGCAACCCAGGCATGTGCCCTGACCGGGAATTGAACTGTGACCTCCTGATTCATAGGTTGGCACTCAACCACTGAGCCATGCTGGCCAGGCAGTAGTATGGACATTTTAGTGATGTTAGTTCTAACAATCCATGAACACAGAATATCCTTCCACTTGTTTATATCTTCTTGTATCTCTTTTTTCAACATCCTGTAGTTTTCCATTTTAGTGTCTTAAACTTCATTAAGTTTATTCCTAAGTATCTTAATTTTTATGTTGCAGTGGTAAATGGGATTGCTTTTTGAGTTTCTCTTTCTGAGATTTCATTATTTTTGTATAAAAATGCCAACACTTTCTGGGTGTTAATTTTGTATTCTGCTACATTGCCAAATTCATTTATTAAATCTACTAGTTTTTGGTGGAGTCTTTAGGGTTTTCTATGTACAATATCATGTCATCTCCAAATAATGAAAGTTTTACATCCTCCTGTCCAATTTGAATGCCTTTTATTTTTCCTTCTTCTCTGATCACTGTGGCTAGGACTTCCAGTATTATGTTGAATATAAGTGGTGAAAGTGGATGTCCCTGTCCTGTTCCTGTTTTTAGGGAAAATGGTTTCAGATTTGACCATTGAGTATTATGTTGGCTGTAGGTTTGTCATATATTGCCTTTATTATGTTGAGGTATGATCCCTCTATTCCCACTTTGCTGAGAGTGTTTATAAAAATTGTTGTTGGATTTTGTGAAATGCTTTTTCTGCATCAATTGATATGATCATGTGATTTTTTGTCTTTCAATGTGTTTATGTGATGTATCACATTTATTGATTTGCAAATAGTGTACCATCCTTGAATCCCTTGGATAAATCCCATTTGGTCATGAGGTATGATTTTTTAAATGTATTCCTGGATCCAATATTCTGATATTTGTTGAGGATTTTAGCATCTCTGTTCATTAGGAATATTGGCCTAAAATTCTCTTTCTTTATCTATTTTTGTTATTAGGATAATCCTTGACTCATGAAAAGAGCTTGAGAGTATTCCTTCCTGTTGGAGTTTTTGGAATAGTTTGAGGAGGATAGGTGTTAGTTCTTCTTTGACTATTTGGTTAAACTCCCCTGTGAAGCCATCCTGGCCCTGGCTTTTGTTTGCTGGGAGTTGTTTGTTTTTTTTGTTTGTTTGTTTGTTTTTTCCTGCTTCAGTTTCATCATTGTTATCAGCCTATTCAGGCTTTCTGATTCTTCCTGATTCTGTTTTGGAAGGTTGTATTTTTCTAGGGATTTGTACATTTCATTCAGGTTGTCCAGCTTGTTGGCATATAGTTGTTCATAGTATTTGCTTACAATCTTTTGTATTTCTGTGGTATTGTTGCAGAAGACCAGAGAAAAACCAAGCAACACTTTAGAGAAAAGAAGTGACATTGTTTATTGACCCTGGCAGAATCAGGGAATAACTTTCCAAATCTGAGTAAAGTAACATGCAGGGGGGTTCTCTTTTATATCTTATTTGGGTCTTTGTCCTGCAAATATGGATTATGTTTCCAGTCATTTTCACCGGC